GGAACTGTTTGCAACTGTTATTGCTGGCTGTTCTGGAGACCATGCATTGTTCTAAAATTTCATATTGTTAGCATGCAGGAACAGGCTGAAACTGGTAATTGAAGCAGCAAAAAACCATTTGCTATAAGAAGATTAAATGTTAATTATAAGCAGTCACATTCCAAAGCAGCATATGCATAAAAAAGCAAACATGCTATTACTCATCATTCCTTCCCAGTCATCATTTTTACACTCATACCAAATACAAAATAGAAATCTCAAAAGACACACAAACACCACCACAAAAAAAAAAAAAGAAAAAAACCCCCAGCAAGAATGACCAATGAGAGGCTCAAAGACAAGACAGAAACAGTTAAAAACGATTGAGCCCCACATGTTGACAGACCTTTGTGAATTACAATGTCTCTCACTCTACTTCTGGAATAGTCCATTTTCATGGACGCCACCGCCCCTGAGATGTCTTCACCTATATACACTTCTGGGTCCACCTTCTTAAAAGGAAAGGCCCATCTGACCTCCCTTCCGGTGGAGTCATTCATCAGGCTTGAAGGGTGTGCATCCCAGCCAGGAAGAGCCTTCCGCTGTGCCATTAACCGAGTCATGAACCCGAACAAATGTTTAACTAAAAATGTTTGAGGATTTCTCTGCTTGGTGGTAGCTGTTTCAGAAGATGTGGACATTCTGTGTGTAAAATTATACTCTCAGGTTGTAAAACAAAATTATATCCAAATTAAGTCTTGGACCTCCTGATTTGGAAAACACTACCCCTGTCTCCTTCAACTTTCTCTGGCTTCCTAATCCCCCAGGTTTGTTTTAGTGAATCACAGATACTCAGAACCGCTGGTGTTTCATTTCCATTTCTCTATGATCATTTCCTTTTTCTAGAGCTGATGTAGGTTAGAAGGTTAATTTCAGATATCAGAATGTCACTTAAAACTCCCATGGTTAGATTTCAAAGAGCAACTTTAAAAGTTTCGGTATTTATTTAAAACAGAAGTAAGTTTCTTTATCTACTCCCTGGACACATAAAGTGCCCTCTCACCTTTGGTGTTTGCTGGTTTTCTTTTTTACATAGTCACCCAAAGCTCTCTTCACAAATCCCAATCCTCAGAAAAGGGACGTTCCCCCAGGATTTCAATAATACAAAGTGGATCTATGAGGACATCTAGTGGATCTTTGTGGAAGAGCAGCTACTCGACAGATCACCTAAACTAGCTGCCTTTCTCTGAAAGGGAGCAGAAAGGGGACCCTGTGTGCTTTCAAGAATTGAAATCTGTGCAGTGTTCTTCCAATTCGACGGTTCTTACAATTCACAGTGGATGTTTAGGGGGCAGTGGGGATGAGAGAATTCTAGGAGATGGTTCCAGAGCGGTATAGAGTAGCAACTTGCAAACACACTGGCTTTGCAGCCATGGCTACCAGAGTGGGACCACAGCAGCACCAGTTGGCTGGGTCTCCTCAAAGCCCTGCCATAGCTTCCTGAGACGGGAAACAGACAAGAGTGTGTCTCTGGTAGGTGTGAATACTGTAGCTACTTGTCGTTCCATCTTAGGGCTTTTGGAAGTTTATGCTCAATTAATCGGCCCCATAGGCCAACTTAACTCGGGGAAAGCAGAAATATAAGCCTCTGGGGACTCAGTTTTCTCTTTGGCCCACATCACAAGGTTCTTGTTCTTGGGCCAGTGCCACAGATTCAAAAAGGTTATGTGGTTGCCAAGAATTAGACCCTGGGTCTCACCTTCCTCCAAAGAACCCTGTCTTAGCAGTTTTACAATTTGAGGAAAACCTTTTATATGCTTTCCTTCACCACAATGAAGTGGATATTCATCCAATATTTCCATTATGACTTCCTACTGCTATTTGTAGAGATAAAATACAAGTATTTCCCTAATAGACATCATCAAAGCTATCTGTTTACGCTTAAGTGTTTAAAAATGGGAGATGGCTCAGAAATACACTTAGAGCACTTTTTCTATATTTTCAAAGGTCGTGATCATGAGAAAGGAAACCTGTAGGAAGTGGCTGCTGTAGACATGGCTCGGTTACTGCTCTGTCCTTGCGTCAAACTGACAATCAGCTGTTAAACTCAGGTTCTCTGCTGGCTAGCCCTTCTGAGCCAAAGCCTGGAATGAAGAGGGAGTTGGACTCCATCCTGTTCTCAGCACCATCTGCCTCCCGCATCAGCAACCAAATTGTCAGCTAGTTTCCAATTGCAGAATCTTAATTTCCAGGGTGGGTTGGAAGGGGCAGGAAAAGCAGCGCTGGACTGAGAGACTCAGGTGGAGTTTTCCAACTGCTGGAGGAAAAGTATTTTAGGTTCAAATGGAGCAAATTCAAGGGAAGACTAATGTCGAAGGAAAAAAATATCTGCCTTTCGCTTCACTGATACTTTTTAGATCGCAATCAAAGGGCTACAATCAATCCAATGAAGGAAGGATTCATTCGAAGCCTGAACCCCAAAGCTGCCTCTTCATATGCTCAGCAGCAGCAAAGTGATAAGTAAAAGTATCCATGAACAAAAAGTCCACCGAGGCATAGGGTTGAGACATTCATTTGGTGTGATACTGGGAATCAGAGAGCACTCTTTCCAGTCCTGTAAATGAGGAATGATGTCTTCACTATGCAAAATTCCTCCTATTAGCTTCTGCAGGGAGAAGAAGGATCTTCCAGGTGG